CCCCAAAACCCCAAAACCCCAAAACCCCAAAACCCCATTAACTAACTTTTACACAAATTTCGTAGTTCGCAAAATCAGCTTAATAATTCTGATCATTAAAAAGTATAATAGAATAGCTCAGAGTGGCAAATGTTAATAATTTAATTTTGAGATCAATCAATCAATATTACAAAATCAATGCTTTTACACGATAATTCAGTACTCCAATAATAATATTAGCCCATGAGTTACTTCCCTACTCAACAACGCAACTACTAAAACTTCAATCATACTATGAGCTATCCATATATGATGCAAGGAAGTGGTATGGGCTATTAGCAAATGGCAAACCCACTAAATAGAATTCAAAAGATCTAGAATGTAAAAATCATTGCACCAACTGTGACCAATGATTTAACCAACTACTTCACTCACTAATAAATGTTGCAATAGCATTAAAGCCAGTGCCTGAGCGGCAGACAAATGCAAAAGAACTACAAGAAACAGTACAAGTGTTATTCAGATAGGAAAAACTCTGATCCATCAAATAACTCTCATAATTTAAGTCAAATTTCGAACACGAATTATGCTGAGATGGAAAACTCAAGTAGATAAGGAGTCAATGACAAAAACCAAACCAAAAATTATTTGGAAGTTCCTAAGATGGGTAAAGCCCATAGAAAGGACAGTTCAGAGGATTACGTGTCAGACTGCTCAACCCAATCAGATCTGACCCAGGCAACAGAAACTGCTGAAATCGAACCAACTTATACAGCTGTTAAAACTTCGCATTATCATCCTATTAATAGTAAGAATAAAATAATACAAGCTGCGAAACTAGTATCTGTTAATAATGAGACTGACGAATAGGTCGAGCTCGCCACTCTCAAAAAGCCTAAGAAATACTTTAAAAACGAAGAGGAAAGAGACAACTTCGTCAGATAGTACTAGATGAAGAAGAAGACTGAGATGTGTAGAAACTGGGAAATATCGGGCAGATGTAAATTCCAGGATCAGTGTTCTTTCGCGCACGGAAAGCATGAGTTAGTCAAGAAAGTGCACCTTCCCTCAAACTTCAAAACAAAAATTTGCAAGTAGTATCACACAACTCAGTTCTGTCCTTACGGCAACAGATGTCAGTTCTTGCACTCGCAATTTGACATTATGCACAGGGACTACGAACCTTCCACAATTCTCCACGAAAACGTTAGACTTTCCAATGAGAGAGCTAACCAACTCAAAGAAGTTGACGAACTTCTGCCCTATGTCAACGTATTCTAAACTAAACGTCTCAGAATATTTGAACAAATTACTCCCAATAATATGAAGCAATTCAAATGAGATAACTACCTGCACATAGCATATCACAATGCTTATTATCTTAAGTGTTTGTATAAGTGAATATATTAAGTACCTCACCCCGGTGTACCACAACCAACCAATTTACTATGTTTGTTTGTGTATCACTCTTAATTTATACTAAATGACTTTCCATTAAATTTTATTCTGATCACTTCTTATACCATTTATTCTCCTTTTTCTACTCAATCAATACCTAACTTTAACTATCAATGACTACATTTGGGGTTTTGGGGTTTTGGGGTTTTGGGGTTTTGGGG